GCGGAATAGGTCTGAAACCGTTGGAGCAGACGGACTGTCTTACAAGCTCCTAATCTTGGCTATGCTTCTGATTCTCCCGTTACTCACTCATATTTTTGAGTACAGCTTCATCATCGGGATCTGTCTCACGGTATGGAAAACTGGGATTATGTGTCCTATCCCGAAGGTCAGATGTCCTACATAAGCGACTATAAGCCGGTTTTGATTTTATGGGTGACTTCGAAGATTCTTATAATAGTATAATGGCAGACCAGATCTCTGGATACCTCAAAGCCTCTGGACCCTCACCAGTCTGCATATAGAAGAAGTCATTCTATTCAGACAGCGCTGATAGAAGTGTTGGATGACATCAGGAATACCGCCGACAAAAGAAAGGTTACCGTTGCAGTGTTCTTTAACTTCACGAATGCCTTTGATCATATGAGTCGCTATATTTTGATCGGAAAACTTAAAAATCTTGATTTCTCGAGCTTGATCCTGAGATAGTTGAATTCATATTTGTCGGAAAAGGCAGATTTCGTGACCCGGTATCGAGAGAGATCTCATCTATATGTACAGGTGGTACATCCGGGATACATCCGGGATGCCACAGCAATCTGTATTTGAACTTCTCCTTTTTGTCTCATATTTGTCTGACTTTGGAACGATACTGTCAAACTATAAGTATCACTTCTATGCTGATAACCTGGTGATTAACATCTCCGGCATTGCTCGCTGGACATCTGATAATGCTTTAATCTTGAATCCTAAGAAGACGCAGGCAATGATTTTTGGCACCTCCAGATTCGTAGGCAGAGTTCTGCGGGAAGATTTACCAGTATCTATATCGACACCGCCATTCAAGGCGGAAGTACTTTACTTAGGAGTTTGTCTCTCAAATTCTTTTACGTGAGACAAGCAGGTTGCCAAAATAACGGCGAAGACTTAAGGCATTCTCCACCAGCTCAAGATCTGCAATCTCCTGCCACTCCTCCTCTCAGAGTTTGGCTCATATCTACCTTAATGCTGCCTCATTTTAATTATTGTTGCGCGGCTCTCACTGTCATTATGGGCGAACTTAAAATCCTTTTATTGGAAGTCATTATATTAACAGGTAGAACACCGATATTAATACAGTACAACCGTTTTAATATAGTTATAACACCGATGTATTATAACTCTATTATATAGCGAAGCTGAGCAAAAACCCTTCGCATTGGGATCGAATTTTAGATCGAGGCGAATACTCGTTGAATAATACTGTTGAACGGCTAATGACACCCCTTCCCGATTGTTATTCGCAGTCGAACAAGAAAGTATAATTTGCGACTCATTACGAGATATATTTAAAGCAGATGTAAATCGTGACCTTAAACAGATTCGAAGTAAGGCTCATGCAAACATCGAGAAATCACAACTCCAGAATACAAAAAAATATAACTTGCGAAGAAAATAAAGCTGCGCGAATATAAAGTTGGTGATTACGTAGAAATAAAAAATGTCAAGATCACGCCTAGTGAATTCTTTTGAAAAAAATTTATTACAGAAATATGATTGTTTTCATCATTATTTAAAAGAATATGTATATGTATTAGTTCAACATCTAACTTTTACCGTCAAGTGGCGCTTCTCATACATTATTCAGATAACGTACTCTCAACGGTCTTATTTTTAGAGTTCAACGATTATCCTTTATCTAGGTATCCGGATATCCAAGATAGAAATAGATTCGAGATAAAATATCCGATTAAAGATCTTTCGGATCCGAATCTGTTTCCAACTGTTTAGATATTCGAATCGTTAGAGTTTAATGATTAAATCATTCATTATTCGGATTTCGGATCTCTCAATATCTTTCTCTATACATATGTACAGGATGTGTATATATATATATATATATATATATGAGAGAGAGAGAGAGAGAGAGAGAGAGAGAGAGAGAGAGAAAGGAGGTGAGAGTGAAAAAGGGCGAGAAACAGTGAAATCGAGAAATAGAAAGCATGAAAGCGAGAGAGAAAAACTTTATATATTTATTTTGACTTATATATTAATTTAGGCTAAATATACTTTTACATATTAATACAATTCTAATTTTAATTTAATATAATTTTATATTTATTAATATAATTTTAATGAACTAAACAAATCATGTTTTTATTAGTATTAATAAAGTGCAATAGTTAGTTTCTGAGAAATAAGGGAGTGTCGCTTTAGGAGACCTATGTCAGTGACTTTACTCTAGTGAAGTATGTAATTTAATCAGAAATTGAATTTATGAGATAATGGATCCGAAAGGTTGAATCCGGATTCGAATATCCGGCTCTGGATCCGCAGAATATTGTATTTCAATATTTAGGTTAAGATTCGGATAATATCACTATCTGGATATCCGGATACTCTAGCTACAGATCTAGCTAGAAATCGTTAATCCTACTTATTTTCAATGTTATTATTTTAAAAAATTTAATTTAAATAGAAAAATTTGTATGTACAATGTTGCTAGATCTCGAAAAATAATATAATACGCTATAAAATAGAAAAAAACTAAACTTTATTTTTATTTAATATTTAGATTAAATTCATTATTATTTCTAAATTGTTTTCATTGTTTTCCTTATTCGATCTAGCAGCGATAAGTGTTTTACACAAAAAATTTTTCGGTAATTATTTGAATTAATGGATACCGTGCCGATGACTGTGACCTTGACCTATGTTATTAAAATCATGACCCCTTCAAAAGATTTTAGCGGTCACTACTCATTCAGAAGTTATTATATGTTATTATATGAAGTTATTAATGTAAAGCCAACATTATGTAATGATTGATATACACTATTGGCGATATATTAGAATTTTCTTTGTAACTAATATTAACATAACATTGGGAAATTTTAGTCAATACATGCTGAATGTAGAGCCAATATTGTAGAATTAAATATTGTAAAATTAAATATTGACTATACGTTGACATTTATTATGTATAACTAACATCGGCATTAAATTGAGAAATATTGACCAATGCATCTCTAATATAACCAATATAACTAATGTCAGCTAATTTTAACCAATATGTATAGCTAATGTACTGTGCCATTAGGATTGACTTCATTGTTTTTGTCAAAATGTTTGTTACCTGAATTGGTTTTTAAGTGTAAGAAACAGATGAAAATTATTCGTACAAGATTTAGAGAATATGTTGGATAAAAATTTGACATTGATGTGCCTATCACTTCAAAGCTCATCATGAATTTCCGTGCAACCGTTAAGAAATTCTGATTGCCATTATCAAACTATTTGCACACTGATTTTTTTCTTACAGAAATTAATTGACAATAAATATTTATTTTTGTTTTATATGGTCAAAAACCGAATCACACACAATTCACAGTCTTGTATTGAGACTTCTATGATTCAAATTTGGTCAGTTAATGATAGGTATAGATCTGTTTTCTGTGGCTGAACTAGTATACATTTTTGGAACTTACAGTGAGATAAGCATTTTGTGGGACCATTCACACTCTTCCATCTAGCCACGCTTTCACATCCATACTCTCTATACAACCATACTCTCTTACATTCATATATCCCACGACTATCTCAGCAAACGAAAATGGATTGAAATGGATTGGAAATTTTCAATCTATCTGAATTCATATTTTAAATCCATAAAAATGGATTGGATTTCCATATAAAAAATTTTTATATGTTTAAATAAATTAAAGTAATAATTGCATGAACTTCTATAGTTATTATTTTAAAACTTTTATACAAAAAATATACACTAACTGTATAATGAAGGAAACGTAATTTATTAATATGAGATATACAGCAATTAAAGATTATGCGTTTCACGGGTTTTGAGTGGACTACAAGGTTCACGAAATGTTGGCATTCCAAGAATGAATCTGGAAGAAACCCGCGAAACGCATAATCTTTATATTAAAAAAACACTCGTGGAAGCCTCAAGAATTATAAAAACAATTAATTTATTAATTAAAAATAAGTAATTTGTACATGTGTGTAACACTTATTGTTCAGATTTACGTAATTCTTTTTAAATTTCTTTCAATTATTAAATGAAGTAGAATTCATGATATATTTTTATGGTACAACTTTTTTTTAACTCACAATCAGTTGAATTAAAACGATGAATTTCTTATTCATAATTCTGAATAAAGTAGCATTCGATTATGATGCATTTTTAAATGAAACAATGGATTTTCACAATTTTTAATTGAATAGCATTCATAGCCCATTTTAAAAGAAAAACTTTTTTTAATTCAATTGGATTAAAAAACTGCATTTCCTATTCAAAATTTTGAATTGAGCAGTATTCACGATGCATAAAATACTATATTATTTTTTAATTGAAAAGCATAGAAATATACTCCATGCCATTCTTATAAATAAATAAAAATGCATTCAAGATTGAAAAGGAATAGACATTTATTTCATGCAATTCCTATAAATGAATAAAAATACATTCATTAAAAAGGATTCATCTTAACATTCATGAATCCGTATTTCTGAATACATTTTAATCCATTTCAATTCATTCTCGTTTGCTAGGTAGGTGGCACACTGACGTCATGTTAACACGTTTTCTCATCTAAACTCACTCACTATTCTTTTCTAGAATCTTCTCGATTGTCTTTTTGAACGAGTCGTGTTTCTCATCTACTAAAAGAAATTTTTATGTATTATTATTAATAAAGAAATTATATTGTGTATCTCGAGTTCAGTTTTGTTTTAACCTTCGTGTAGTAATCGTTACAGTTTGATATTTATTGAAAACGAAAAAGAGAGAGTTCTATAGCGCAGTTTAGTATAGAAATAAAAATCTAATGATTGCAGTGAAGGCAATTGCAAAAATGTTACAAACACACTCCAAACAGACTTTATAATGCACGAACTATTCGCATAACTAGATTTCTCTTATGATATGGAAATTTACCTTTGGGATGCCCCTTTATCTTGCAATTAGTTTTAAATTTAAAGAAAAGTAATACAGATTGATATACCTAGCCTAGAATTTTCCTTCAAGAAAGGTGCTAAATCCAAAAGATCTTCTTCTTTTTCATCAGGAGTTGAAAGTTTATCCACATAATCATGATGTACATATACATGACAAGTTGTACATGCCAAACTGGCTTCGCATGCACCTTCAATATCAATTTCATATCTATGAGCCAAATAAAGTACATTGTCTCCTACTTTTCCTTTTATTTTAATTTTCTTGCCTGCTTTGTCAATAAAAGTGACGTTAACGCTGGAAAGACAATTACAATAAAATAATTTTTACTGATCATTATAGAATCATTAACTTAACTTTTAATATCTACACACATAATGTAATATAATAATAATAATATTATGTAATAGAATCGATAATAAAGATTCATCTAATTCAACATTAATACACTCATTTTTTACTTAATCATAAATTTTTTTTTTATATTCACTGCAATATTTTTAAAAATGTTTTTGAAATTTTTAAACTCGTTGAATATTTGGATCAATGCCTAAAATTGCATTTTCTAGTTTTGTGACTTATTGTAGAAAAAAGTAAAAAAAGAGAACCGCGTAAAATAAAACAGCGTTGAAGTCCGCGTAAATCGAGAGATTATTTACTGTGTAAAGAGAAATCCGTGTAAATTAAGTGTCGCGTAAATCGAGAGACGAATATAATTCTCATAACAAAAATTAACGAAAAATTATTATATTTATCATTTGTTTTTGTTTTCGATTGACTTTTATACGCAATCCGAATTAAACTATCTATACAAATGAAACTGTAAATCCACTATAAGTAGGCTTGAATTAATTAAGTACATCCTAGTTAGCAAATTTATATTTTAATCATCTTATAATTCGATTTTGTATTAAATGCGCGACTGAATTTGACATTCAATTTGATATTCAATTTTTAAATTCCATTACTAGTCCAAATTTGAAAAATTTTAAAATATTAACACAAACATTTTATGTATCTCATAATATTCTTTCGATTTATTTTTTAACTGACTGCGATATTTAATTTATATTTTTATGATAATACATAAGTTTATCTTTTTGTAATTATTGAGAATGACCTAAAAGCAAAAAGTTAACATGTTTAATATTTTTTGATTCCTATATAATAAAAACGTTACATGTACACCCAAACAAAACCGATGTTGACTTTTGAAGATATACATATTTATTTATTTGATATATTTAATTGATTAATTTTTTTTAAAGCTTTTTCCTCCTTTTTATTTTCTTCTTTTTTTTATACTTATCATATATATGAAACTGTTTTAGTAAAGGCACTCTCCATTAAAAATTTTATAATTATTTATATTAATACGGACATAGCTTGACCTTGACATATGTATGTTCAACAAGATCATGACCTTAAATGATATTCCAAAGATTTCAGTTGTCACTTATTGTTTATTATAATAAATTTATCATAAAATTGAATTATGATTATCCAATTAAATATTGATTATAAAATTTGTTTATTATTTTTATTATATTCCTTACTAAAAATGCTTTAAAAAAAACTTTTATTTTGAGGAGCCACAGTTATCGTAAACGTCCCAATAAAAATAATGATGTAATTTAAAGCCATAATTTGAACATTAAGTAACATTTATAAATACGACATTATTTATAAATCAGTGAAAAATGTAAGAAAGCCCATCAGAGCTACATCAGCTATTCGGATGCATAGAAAATTCTTTATTTTCGTATGAATGTGTATGAAAAAAAAGAACGAACTAAATTGTCGGAAATCAACTTAGAATTTGCGTTACTTATATAATTTCGATTTATATCTTATATTGATTAGGACCCGAATTGAAGGGTCGAAATTATGTTATTCGTTTTGTTACATTCACACGAAAATAAAGAATTTTCTGTGCATCCGAACAGCTGATGTAGGCTCTGATGGGCTTTTTTACATTTTTCAATTATAGATTTTTTCGAGCCTCATTTTAGTATTTATAAAGTATTACGTTTTTATTTCTGATTAAATTCAATTTATTATATTTATTTGTTGATAATATCTCTTTTTTTTTGTTTAAATATATTATCTTTTTTATCTTCAAAAGAAAAATTAAACTTCGCATGAAAGTTTTAAATCTATATAGAATCATACAATAAATAGACCTTGTTTCATAATAATCAGTATTTTTAATGAAAAACGAAATCTATTACTTGTATACTTACAAAGTCCATTGGTTTTATACAATGTTTCATACCAAACGAACTACCATCTACTTATAGTGCAAAATGATATATCATTGTGTATATCAAGATTCCACATGGATTTCTAACTTTCCTTCTAACGCTATTGATTTATAATAATTATAAACTTTGTTTCGCATCTCAGAAGCACTAGATCTATGAAATTGTTAATTGTTAATTTTTAATTATTAAATACACTTTTTAATAACGAACGAAATTTGAGAGGCTAAATTCTCTCAAAGCTTGATAAAGATCATAACTTTAACAAGAACATGCCAAAGTCAAGCTGATCGGAGTTATGTCCATTAATGTAAATATAATATTTATAAAAAATTTCAAATAAATTCATTTAATTTCTTCTAATGTAAAATTTGGCATAATGCACAAATAACTTCGAAAATTATATTTCTTTTATTTTGTGTTAGAAATAAAGATACGTTTCATGTAAATTGCAGAGTTTTAAGAAAATTATCTATTTTATAAATCTTACATGAAGCAAGAATACATTTATTTTACCTACATATCAGCCTCAGTTTTAGGATCCTGCATTTCGTATTCACCATGAAACATAACTGCAAAAAAATTTTTAAAGTTTTATTCATTCAATACATAAGTCAATAAGTTTGTATATATAATATGTTATCTAACAAGAAAAACATCAGTGATAATAGATTTAGAACAGATATAGGATACATTATTTGAGACACTCATATAGGATTGCAATATCAAAATTTTCAAAACTAGAACTTACAGGCCAAAAATCCGGACATTTCGCTTAAAACTCTAGACGCACATAAAAATGCGTGTAGATTAATAAAATTGATCAAAACAGTAAATAAATAATTATTTCACATTTAATTGTTTTTTAGTAGTATCACAAATTAATTTAAAGAAATTGATCAATCATATATAATCGAGTATTTTCCTCACATTCAACTGTTATTGATCAATTTCTTACAGCTTAAGGATTATTACACCTATTGTAATTAATCAGGACTATTGTAATTAATCATAAGAGACATGGTCTCGCGCTACCGACGAGATACTATATTAAAAACGATTGCCGCTTATGGAAGTTCGCATGCCTGTTAAAACTTAAATGATTAAAAGTAAGAAACTAATAATACGGTACTAATTTCATGATTTATTAATTTCGACATGTACATATGTTAAAACTAAATAATACTCGATTTTTATTTAAAATTGATTTAATGTTATCATCCGAGTTTGATTATCAATAGAGGTGATAACTGCAGAGAAAAAATTGTAATTTTTCGGCAATTCACATATTTTATTATAATATAAGATATTATAGCATTAAATCATATGCATACTTATTTATACAGCATTTATATAATAAAAAGTCATGAATTTAATAATGTATTATTGAAATATTTATGTTAATAATCATAAATTTTTAATAATTGTCGGTAATGCCATCGTTCTTCAATTATCTCCCGAACCCTATTGATGGTCACAAAAATTTGCCCAGGTTCGATGGTCTTTAATAATATCTCGTCGGTGTTCGCGCTAAAAGCAAGCGCAGCGATATCAAAACACGAGATCGGTCGTGTAGCTTTATAACGTGAGATCTGGCCGTGTATTTTTATTACGCGAGATGTCGAGTTTTCCAGTAAGATTATCGAATCTCAATAACCTATGCTCAATCCAGACAGCACAATATGTTCAAAGAATATTCTCACAGAGTACTTTCTATGTATTCTAAAAACGTTTGGAAAGAATATTCTTAAGATGATTCTAAGAATATTCTGAATGATATTAGGCTATTATTCGTTTCGTTCTCAGAATATTCTAACAACATAAATAAATATTCCTAGAGAGAACATTTTATTTCATGCGTGACTGGAATATTTGTATATCGAACGCATTTTATTTAAAAGAGGACGTTTCCTAACATCTTTAAAATGTCCTTGGAAGTTTATGCTACTGTATGAGAATATTTTTGAGAATATTCCTGTACATTCTACGAACTTCTCTCTATTATAAAAATATGATAGATCTAAATAGAGAAAATCCCACAGCTATATGGAAAACTTTGAAAGAAGTAATAAGAGGTGAATCAATTGGTTTAAAAAAGGTAAAGAATATAGATTTTGAAATATTAGATAACATTAAAGGGTACAATATAGCTGATAAATTTAATATGTATTACATATAGAGTATTAGTAATATAGTAAATTTGATAAAGTTTAGTCATAGTTTAGGAAATTTGATAAAGTTTAGTTCTAGTTTAGGAAGTATTAAATCTAAACATATAAAAAAGTTATTTACACAAGGTAACCGGGAAATCGCCTGCAATACTTCGAGAAATGATTCGGGACGCAAACAGAAGGAAAAAAGAAATTAACCAATTATATAAATTATTACATAATTATATAAACATAAATCCGGAAATAAGTCGTTTTCGAGTTATAACCACTTTTGTGTGTGTGTGTGTGTGTGTGTGTGTGTGTGTGTGTGTGTGTGTGCGCGCGCGCGTGCGTGTGTGTGTGTGTATGTGTGTATTCACAGTTGACTTTGACAATGAAAACGGCATTAATTTTTTAAACGTTAAACTAATGAGACAAAAAGGAAGAATCATCTTCGATATTTATAAAAACCTACTAATTCAGGGAGATATTTAAATTATTTTTCGAATCACCCGTTAGTACATAAAAGGGGTGTAATCATCGGATAAATAGATAGAATATTTCTTTTATCCTATCCAAAATTTCAGGAAAAAAACATCTCTGACTTAATTCACACTTTGTTAATGAATGGTTATCCTCTTAAATTCATCTTTTCAACAATAAAAAATAGAATTCAAATTTTAGAAAGTAGAACGAATTTAGATAAAAATGGTGAGTACAACAATAACGAAAGCGACTCTAATTCTAATTTAAAGAAAAGGTTTCATAATACCATATTTAAATAAAGTATTGGAAAAATTTTAAAAACTATCACATATTCAAGGCTTTAATATTACTTACAAACCTATAAATAAAATGAATAGATTTATAAAAACTGGAAAAGATCCTTTAAGAGGACCATTGCGGAGTGGTTCACAAAATAAATTATTTAAATTGTCTTCTTATGTTAGCCAAATAAAAAGGAAATTAAAAACTCGAATAAAGGAGCATAGGGCTGACATAAAAAGATCCACCTCGGAGATGTCAGTGGTTTCGCGTCACCAGTTGAATGAGATGCACGAATTGGATTGGGATAATATCAGAATTTTAGACACAGAACAATCATTAATGAAAAGAAGAATCTCTAAAATGATATACATTAAAAACCAAATAAGTAGTATCAATAAGCAAAGTCACACTGAAGGTTTGTCCGATGTTTATCTGCTTCTTCTAGAGAAAGATCTCTTTCACACTTAATAAATAATTCTAGAACAATCTAAACTTTTGACACATATATAAATAGTGGTAACATATATGATATGACAAATAATAACACACAATGTCACGACAAATTTCCATCTGTGTAAAGGATATACTTGAGATTCATCATTTTTTTGCTGTAAAACAGGTAACGATTCTATTCTCATACATTTCGACTAGAAGATATTAATGATAGATTAATTTGTTATTTAGAATCTGGAAATTTTTGTTCTACATATTTCGTAATATGACAATTGGCGCTGCAACATTGTTGTACGAGGCACCTTCACATGATGAAAGAACACATTTATACATAGTTATACGACGGTTGAATTTAATGTCAGATATACGTAATTCTGCATTTTAAGAATATTGTGAATTTACTGAAGATGACCAGATTGTGACCGAAATGTCTGATGGTTTATCAATGTAATGATAATTAAATATCACAAACAATATCTTGTGCGGTGATTTTTATTCTCTTCTTTTATTCTCTTCTTTTCATAAGTTTTGAATTATAAACCACGTTCGTTTTTATTATGTATTTTGATCAACAATAAATGTTCAAAGTTATTGTCCACAGAGTATGGAGTATCAGAGTATACAGAAATCTGTTTTAGGTTGTTATTTATGATTTATATAAATGATATAGTCAAAATTTGTCCAGAAGAATGCAGTATAAAAATGTTTGCAGATGATATACTAATGTACGTAATTGGAAAGAATAGTGCGGAGTTAAAGAATAAAATGAACATGGGATTTAGCATAATAGAAGGATGGATGGACATGAATAAATTAAAATTAGATGCAAAGAAAACAAAATTTATGATAGAAGTTGGCACATCGTATGCCGGCGAGTGCAAGCTCGCGGATAAAAAAAAGGCACGTTTTCTCTAATTATGTCCTCGCGCAAACGAGCAAGTCACTAAATACGAAATTGGGCACCAAAGGAGGCCGCGTCAATTCATCAAATAGCGAGTTTAAACATCTATAATCCCTCACGACAACGAGAATTTATCTTTGAGATGTGAAGGGCCGTGGCTTGCGCGAGGATCGACTCACTCGATTCTTCGATAGAGGTGCGGGGAGGGAATTTAGAGCCGCTCACATGAGGTGGAAGGAATGACAACCGTCAAGCGACGGAATTACACACTCGATAAAAAGAGAATGAATATGTGAACACGAACACGTGAACACGAATACTAAAGCGTGGCGATCACAGAGCGTCAGTACGACTTCCCCCAGGCTGCACGCGGCTTCACAAATAACAAACGAGCAACCTCACCGAGGTCTAGATCGTCGCAGCAATTCTTTCCTCAGAAACGTCCTCCTCTCGATCGCGTGCTTTCGCATCGCCGGGTCACCGAGAAGAGTGCGAACTGAATCGTGGTCGGTACGTGATCGATTCGCGGTCCTCATCTTGAGGGGTGCGCAGAATCATCGCGCCAAGCCGTATCCAATTAGGAAAGGACTCGCGCGCAGGGTTGCATCGTGACCCCGCCGAATGCCTGGTCGGTGCTCTCCGGCAGCGATATTGGTTGCAGACTTGCTGCGCGGTAGCGGAAAGCCCGTCTGTATTCTGGCACGACCGATGACTCCTCCTTCCTCAGAGTGGTCGCTTCGTCGCATTGACAGGTGCCATCCTCCACATTTTCGGGGCATCCTCGTGCTCCCGAATTGCTCTATCATGCTTCCAGTGTTGGCCCTGCTCGCTATCGGCGGCCGTTCCTCTGGCGCTTTCCTCTCGATCACTCCAAAAAGTCAATCGGGATTATAATATTGCCTTATGCGATAAACGTGGTCTCCCGGAGGATCTCGATCATTCGCCAACTCTTCTCAGCCCTACTTTACACGCGATTTTGCGCTTTGTGACAACGGAGGAATGCTGCGACGCAGCAGCGATCCTGCCACGTCACAAAGTATAAGGAAAGAGTTGAGCAGTAATATTACGTTAAAATGTTTGGATGGAGTTGTAATAGAACGGGTAGAAACAATGAAGTATCTAAGTATACCTATAGTCATTGATGATAAACTTCGATGATAATTTTAAAGATCACTGTGATTACATGTTAAAGAAAATTGGAAAAAAACTGGTTTTTTTAATAGAATAGGTAATTTTACATTTACGACTTACACTGGATGTATTGTACATAAGACAATCATAGCATCTCACTTTGAGTATTGTACAACGTTGTTAATTGATATGGGAGAAACACAGCTGAACAATTTGCAGAAGGCACAAAATCGAGCTATGAGAGTCATATTGTAATGTAACAGATACATCAAAGTGGAATACATGCTGCAAGTGTTGCAGTTTATGTCCATAAAACAGAGGCTTTATCATAACGAGTGTATTTTTATTTTTAAGGTCCTAAATGATATGATGCTGGAGCAATTAAGAAATAAGTTAGTTGTGGGAAATGACAGCGAAAGATAAACACTGCAGACCGGGAATATTGTAATAAAATTCCGCAAAACAAAACACATAAGAGTATATTTTATGAAGGAGTGAAAATATATAACACCTTACCATATGAAATGAAGCAATAAAACTTAAATTTATCGGTAATAATCGAACATAGATTACAATTCAAATGTGAATTTGATTGGGATACCATTTTAATTATGGATGAAGAATCGTGCTATAGTAAACATTTAATTTCTGAAATGATTAATATTAAAAAACAGAAAAATAGTTTAAATCTACAGACAGATACTATAGATCTTCATATAAGTCATATTTATCAATAATAAACAGTATATGACTTTATATTCCTGATACTATATAAATTTTACTAATCTTTGTTTAGTCGTCGCTTGTCTTTTGTAACATTCACATGTATTAGTCTGACTATCTCGTTTGTTAAATATGCGATTGACTCTTTTTACATAAAAGAATGTTGTTGGCCATCACTGGACATATTTTTGTTGCCCATACTATTTATCTGGATGGCAGTGATTAAATTCCATTGTATCGAGAAACATCAATCATTAATGGTTTTCGTGGTGCAATAGTAACTTCTTAATCGCATAAAAATGTTTTAATATTATTTTTTGCAGTAGAACATATATGTATGAGGATAAGGTGTAAGTTTTTTTACGCATCTTTTCTCATCTTACTACCTTACAATAATAATCTAACATTTATTTTTTATCGCTTTCTATTAAATGTTTAATTAAATATATAATTGGAGTACCATAGGCTATACAATAAATATTCAAGATAAAACAGGACAATTCAGAAAGTACTAAAAGGGCAGTTTATACTTCTAAGCAATTAATTTTATTTTCTCGTAATAGTAATTTTTTATCTTATATTTTAATGATTATTTCTCATTTATTTTCTTATAATTTTCTATTATGTTATTTAATAATTATTAGTTGTAATAATATTTTATATTTTATTGTATTAGTGACTATGCTAAGAATGTGTAAGTTAATTGAAAATACTTTTCAACTTTTGTCACCATTACTTCTTGCACAATTCTATTATTTTGTATGACTTATAGTACCTCGAGTATGGATCATTTCTTAAAAAATTTATTTTTATTTTTTTTCTTAAAAATTAATAAATATTTATTAAATATACTTATTAAATTTTAAAATATGCATTATGGTTTAATTATTAATAAAAATTTTTATATTTAGATGTACTTTTAAAAGTTTGAATTTTTGTGATTCATGGTGCCCCGGTCTCTCCTATACGTGTCTACAAAATTAATAAATCATGGAATTAGTACATATTATTAGTTCTCAATCACTTAAATCTAAGCAGTTACGCTAACTTCCATAACTAATAACTTCCGACTGTCTTTACAGATAGTACCTTGTCAGTGGCAATAATAAAAAATTAGGATAATTATTTAAAATGATTCCTCCTCACCTCCCCTAAAATTTTAATATTGTTTTACAAACACAAATTCATCATTTTACAAACACAAATTCACTTCAAAAACACAAATTTACTGCTTTAAACATAAAAATTCTTTGCATTAGCAGTGTTTGAAGCAATTTTTAAAGCAGAGAATTTTAATGTGGTTCTTTAGTGTCGAAAATTTGGGATGCTCATCCAAAAGGGCCCATCCAAAATTACAAACATCTGTATAATTTGGATAAAATATTAAAACTACATATATCTTAATGAAATAGTAGAACATACGATAATAAGTCAAAAGCTACATCTTCATTAAATGAAAACAAAATGAGATTATAGCCGGTATTCATAGTCGAATCTTATATTTAAGATGGTCTTAAGTACAGTCTTAAAAAGTCACAAACTAATCAGAGAACCGTATTAGCGTCTTAAGACATTACTTAAGATAGTCTTGAAATAAGAATGGACTATAAATACCGCCTTATTGTCTGCTTTTTAAGGTTAAATTTATATGCAAATTTATGCACATAAATATCTTTCCAGAATGGTCGTTGCCCTATTACTTTTTTGTGACCATTAAAAATCGTAATTTTTTTAACTCGTTTCTTCATTATCTCGTTTTTGGGAAAAATCTATAGTAAGATTCGTGTTAACTAACTTTGACAGTTAGTCAAAGAAATGTCTGCGAGTTTTATTTCTATCACTAAAAGATTACATTTTCAACATTTTTTCTTTTTTATTATTTTATCATTAACCTACCGTAGAATTTTGCACACGTCCATTTCGATACTTCAACTTCATTATATAAAAAAATTAGACATTTCTATGATAAATCAATTTATTAAAGAACCACCTTAAAATAGTGAATTTGTGTTTTTAAAGCAGTAAGTTTATATTTTTAAAGTAGTGAATTTGTTTTGAAGCAGAGAATTTTTATTTTTAAAGCAATGAATTTGTGTAATTAATGCAAAACGTATACATAGCGCTATATTGAGTCGGAATGACAGACATCTTAACCTCTAAAGTCTCCAACTTTAACGCTTAATAACTCGATTTACAAGGCCGACCGTCGTGTTTTTTTGCCAGTTTTTCATTTTGAAAACACGTCGAATAAGTGTATTTTTATTAAGATTTGAGATGGGTGGGAGAGGGGAGGTTATTCTAAATAATTATCTTGTTTTTGAAGGTAATGCTTCCATGTATTGCATTGCATGGATGTGTCAGATTTCTTAACATCAATAATCAACTTTAACGCTTAATATCTCGGTTCGCGAGGCAGAGCGATATTTTTTTCTGCCGATTCGTTCATTTCATATAAAAACGCATCGAATGAGCCTAATTTCATCGAAATCGGTGAGAAAACCTGCCTCCTTCAATTATCCCCAATTTTATTTGATTTTTGAGCTACGGAGAACTGTATAATTATCACTTTTTCCAGCAGATTTGACTTCTAAAGGTACACGAATGCGATGCTACAAATGGTTTGAAGTGTTTTTTAATTGGTCAGTTTGTAAAATTCTTTCTTCTAATTGGTCCATCAAATGCTTCAAAACATTTGTAGCGAGGCTTTGACCACAGCCTAAGTAGCAATTAATAATTTTTTAACAGCATGATATGATGTTACCAACCTTTAGATGTATGAATTTTGTGATTAGATAGCTTAATCAAATGGCTTATTGGAGTACACATTCTTTGCTTCGTATAGAGTAGATATAGCTGTCGTAGAACAAACATCGTTTTTAACATAATATTTCGTACAAGATATTGAAGCACCTTAAAATCAAATCAACGGCGACATTCAAAAACACCACCCGGGTAGAGCAAAATATACAATACACAAGCAAAAATAATGATTATACTACATCGCAAAAAGAAATAGGACTGAGAGTAAAGAGGATTAGATAGAGCGGAACATGATGTAAAGATACAAGGAGAAATATTTCCACGAATGCGCGATAGGAGTTTGGACCCAAATTTGATTGGCTGTTTTAATATGCTACTGCTACTGGCTGCTTTCCAATTAGGATACAGAACGTTAAGGTATGTGTTTATGGTGTCGCTTGTCATTCATTCAGCGACAAATAAATCACGTGATATTATATGCTAACCTCATGGTGGTCGCTCATACAAATAAGCTAGCAGCGATAAATTTTTGACGATTTTTGATAATTATATTATTATTAATTTTGTTGAGTAAAGTGCTGTAAGTCCAAAATGTCATATCAAAAATAGTATTACGATTGGACCTGTCAAGTTGATGCGATTGTGCACAACAAAAATAAAACGAAACTACAGCAAAATAGACTAATAGCATATATATGCATTAATGAATGTACAAATTTAAAAAGAAAATATAAAAAAAAAGAGATGTTGGATCCTTTATTTAAAAGATGACGTAACATAAATTTAAAAAAAATTATTATTAAAAAATTATTAACGAATAACCAGTTATATGTATTGAACTATATATACTGGAATGGGCATCGAGGAAAATTCGTGGCCGCAATTGATTGAGCCATCATTTTAATTGAGACGATATTTGAGCGAATTAAAAGTGTTTGCGCGTGCGCTGCGATCGATATATCGATCTATGTATCTATCGATGTATGGAAATCTATATGGACATGAATGATATGAACAAAAATGTCACTTCAATTTTATTAGAACATTCAATAAAATAACATTAATAACACTTTTTATATCCTACATCGTTAACATATGTGCAGGAATTGATACATTTAATTCACAATTCTTATCTATGAAATGAAATGCCCTTTTTACTTTTCTGCCCTCACCCAGGCATACAGTATTTCATGTTCATGCTTTGCACATTTTATAGTTACGCGATTTTATAATTTTTCAAATACAATCCCACACACCACACGATGATCTTGCTGACATCATGCGTCTCACTAAAGAACACTAAACGTAAGTGCTCATAAGCATCTGAAAGCTTCTGATTCGCTCTTAGGGACTCCCACAAGATAAAGAAGAGAATAAGAATTTCAACCTATCAAAAATCATGTATTGTGGAATACACAGTTTCTGATAAATTGAAATTCTCTATTCTCTGTTCCCTATTCCTTTTATTGTGCGGAGCCCCTTATATTGACCAAATTAAAATGGTGCCACGCTGATCTATTGATGCCACGATTTTCTATGCTTCACAGCGAAGATTCCAGTGTATATATAGTTCAGTGGTTGTACGCTTCCATACATTCATAAGTCGAAATATTCTTTTCGTCTATAGTCATTCGACATATGTCACAAGTACAACCAACCATTTGAAAATTTCATGAAATTATCGCAAATAATAACAAATAGTAATTAAATAGTAATAATAATAATAAATAATAATAATTTAATAATACAATAATTAAATTGGTATAATGTTGCGCGATCATAAAGAAACGTTAGTATAAATAAAATTGGAAATAAAAATAAAAACAATCAGAGTTAAATGAGGTAAAATCGCACGCAACAAATTTTTTATTGATATTTGTATTTATTTATTTATTTATTGTGATAATTATTTAGAATATGGGCATCGCTCAAAACGGGGAGCACAGACTTTTGCATAACGCATAAAACATGACGCATAAGAAAATCAATCAATCAAACTTTTTTATTTCACGGAAAGGAAGGTAATAAAGGACTTGATTGATACATTTTCTATGCGTCATGTGTTATGCAAGAGTTTGTGCTCCCCGCTTTCAGGGCTGCCGTACATAAAATTTTGCAACAATGACCGTAAGATATAAACTTAAGCTGATGAGTCAATCAGAATATTACTTTAGATCTAAGTAATGTAACGGAAATGGAAATAATAGTAAACTTATCCATAACTTCGAATAAGGTGAATTTCTGCGGTACACGATGCTTATTTTTCTGCTGGATTGCTAGCTGGATTAGAATCTTATCATCTCTTCAGCTGCAGCAAAAAATGACGAAAATGATATAGCCTAAGGGCTGCCACAGACAAAATTCCGTAACGGTAGGCGTAAAGTTAAGCCGATGAATCAATAAGGACACTGCTTTAGATTATGTAATCTAACGGAAATAGAAATAACAGTAAACTTATCCATAACCTCGTAACAAGGTGAATTTCAACCGCCTTATGGTTAAAACTCGCCTTATGGATAAGTTCACTTTATTGCTATTTCTATTGCTGTAGAGTACGTAAATCTAAAGCAGTATTTTGATTGGCTCATCGGCTTAAGTTTATACTTTACGCATATTGTTATTACGGAATTTTGTGTGTAGCCCTAACGTCGCATCGTCACACGTCGTACACGCACTGCACAAGCCAATGAAGCCAGCGGCACTCGATGCTTGTTTGCCCGCTGGACTGCTAGCTGGATTAGAATCATGCCACCGTATTGGCTGTGGTGCTGTCAATGACCTAGTTTCCACTGAGGGTTTAAACCAAATCAAAATGTAAGAACCAACCAACTACAGTCGAGCATTCTCCTATCGTTCAACTGTAACAGGGAAATTCTTCAACTATAATTAGTTGGTTCTTACATTTTGATCCGGTAGACGTGCGTCTTACGATGCTCTGTAACCAATCAGAAAATAGGATTTTGCTTTGTATCATCGATACAAAATAAAATTCTGTTTTCTAATTGGATGCAGAAGTCGTACGACGCACCTCTCGAATCCAGTGTGAACCCAGCATAGGCCAGTATCAGTTATTACAGACGCTTTCCATTGGATGACACAAGTCGACACAAGCGTCGTTCTATCCTTGTTGACATTCAGAGAGTGACAAAGATAGAACGACACTCGTGTCGATTTGTGTCATCAAATGGGAAGCACCCAACGTTTACACGGCACGCTTTACATCGAAGTTATAACATCGATATTATGAAACTGGCCAATCACAGTCATTCCATTCTTCAGAGGAATAGCTATGATTATAGTCAGTTTCATAACATCGATGTAATAATTCGGAGTAAAGCATGCCGTGTAACAGAGATTATTATCGCAGCCAATACGGTGGCAAGATTCAAGTTTTCCAGCAGAAAAACAAGCTTGTGGCACAAGCTTTATAAAGCATGATAGCATATCCAGCCTATGATATTGATGGTAGCTGGTAGCAGGTAGCGGCAGTTAATACTAGCCGCACCACTAACAGCATTGAGAAAGATCGCAAAGATTATTCGCCCCGCGCCCGCTTCGTTCGAGTTACTTAGTCTTGTGCGCGACCTGATTCCAGGAACTTTTAATTTTTTCTCTCGTTCCATCGCCGTGCCCGTCCCGAACCCGAGTGTTCCACTCGTCCCCAGGGAATGTGGGCGCGTTAATTATCTCGAGACGGATTCATTAGTCACCTGAATGCGCGTGGTTTCCTCGTCGGTGGGTGGACATCTCGATGTTCGCATCGGTGATCGGTTACGGCAGCCGGCGAAAACAACGTACGCCGGGATCGTAAGATTTGTGCAAATTTCGCAGAAACGCGCGTGACAGATCTCGAGGAAACGTCAAGGCTCGACGTCAAGGCAGCGACGGAGACGACATTCTTGGATAATCTCGGACGCCACAGGTTCTCCTATGTGCCATCTCCGCGCGGACGTTGCCCGATTACGTTTTGAGACACCTGGGACTGCCGCGTGTCATCCCGACAATCATGGACGTTGATTGTCCGATCGTTAGTCTGAAGCGATCCAGCAGCGCGCCGATGATTAACGAGATCAGCGCGACCATGTCCGTTACTACACCGTCGACATCGTCGTCGAGGTATGTCTATGATTATTTCCCTATGATTATTCCTCCTTTATCCATCAACCAATTTTATATCATGGAATGATGGAATGTGAATTACTCCAGATCCAGGATAATGTAAAAATCAATCAGTATAGTATATATCAAGACTTGGCGATAAAGTCTGCTGTAGTTGCGGTCTGTTTGCGGTCTAGTGTGTTCGGCTCGACCAGGTTTGCATTCAACTAGGATTGAATTAATGACATTTCGTTCTCCTATTGGTGGAGCATTAACGTCAACCAATAATAGATCATTAATCTAACCCAGGTTGATGCAAATCCGATTGAGCCAAAAATCATTACTATTAGTAATGATTTTTATTACCGAGTTACTTGCATTTCTTATGAGTGGATAATTGAAGTATTACCTGCTCCAACTATTAGCGATTTTGGAAAATTAACAGTGTTGCATGAAGCAATACAGGTACGATCAATTCTTTTTTTAAATCCTTATTTTCTTCGAATATAACTTTAAAACCTCTTATCAGAATACTAGGAAAATAAATAGTATAAGTAGTACAAAGAAAAGTAAAAATTTGATATTTGTAAAGTGACAACTTGACAACACAATCAAACACAGCATTTAAGCTGTGTTGTACATTTGTCAACTTATGTCATAGTTGAAAAGCATGGAATCATACACTGTGTTAGCCTGTATACATTGCTAAAAAGCACTTATAAATTTCTGTTATATAGGGTGTCTCTACGTACAGTGCCAAAACTGCTACAGCGGCTTCAGCATATGAAAATAAATTGAAAATGTCTAATAAACATATATCCGATTTCGAACGGTTTCGGAGTTATACAGAGTTTACGGGATATTGAAGAAAGAAAATGTGATTCGTTGTTATTAAATGTTCGTTATTCTGTTGTTCTGAATCTTGAGCCGTTTTCTGATGGACTAGATCTTTCATTTGTCCCCAAAATGTAAACAAATAGGATATTAAGGATGTCACTGCTAATGACCACTATCCTCGTTAGATTGGAAGAGGCCAGGACGCTCCTATTAAATAGCCAGTGAGAAGTCCCGACTTCACGCTACTGGATTTTTTTCTTTGGAGATGAATGAAAGATCTAATCAGAATGAGATTTAGAATGCAGAACAATTGCAAAATGACAACTGGTACTTAACAC